AGATGGGACGATTGGGCTATCTGGGCCTATAGCGTCGTTTGATACTGTTTGAGACCAGGGAGGACCATGCAAGAGGATGACAGGAGTCGCATCTACTCTTGAGATCTTATTTAACTCGCTGAGCTGTTCCTGAGGGGCTACATGCGTGTTTCACGCCTCAGAATTGATAAAAAAGGATCAAGGAAGCACAAACTCATGTTGGACAGTCGCTCGAGGATGTTGGATTGCATGTACCAAGTTTAACGAGGTCCCTGAGACACACCGAGATTAAAAATTGTTTAGGGTAGCTTTTCAAACTATTCCATCCCTTGAAGTGAGAAAATGTTACCACCTAAACACCGTCAAACACGTCAATACCCATCAGGTGCGCATTTTATGTTAATTCTGAAGCGTCTAGCTCAACACGTTCGATAAGATCCCATAGTGGCTCAAGCGTGCAGAAGTGAGTGGCAGGGGTGAGATGGAACGATTGGAGTATCGCCTAGCGTATGTAGCCTAGCCTGGCCAGTGTGATCTGATACTGTTTAAAATAAGCAAGCCGGTGGAAGGGTGACATGGATCGACGTTGAATTGAGCCCAGGGATCTTATTTAACTCGTCGAGGTATACGCGTGTATCTGCGCGTCGCGTTCCGTGCAGCTTCGGTCTAACAGCCTACCCAGCGTTCGCTGCTGATAATTGGCCGTGCTGATAGGAACGAAAGAAGAGGAACAAGAAGCATCGTGCCTACGAGCTCGTACGAGCGGCAGACAGAGATCGGTTCCCAGGGTAAAAGCGGAAGCGGCGTGCTAATGCGTTAAACGGGTCGTCATCGAACGCCGCGAGGCATACGAGTGTCATTTTCCCAACCCTTTCCGCTGGAATCATCTAACGCGAGCCTTAATACAGTTCTTCGTTCTTAAGACAAAAACCACCGTGCCTCATCATAGCAGCATCTCCTTCGATAAACCTGACATTTTTATTAATACAGAATATTTGTAAAATTAAAATTACATTAGATAGAAAAGAAGATAGTTAGAAATCCATTCGCCTCGAATCGAAGCCTGATGATGGCTTGTCTCGCGACGACCGTGTACAAGCGTGACCGCCAGTGGAGGGAGGCTTCTTCTCCGCTTAGGTGTGTGTTTTTCGTCTCGGAAGCCACGGTCGATCCATCTCGAGAGCACGTTCGAGGTGGGTAATTAAGACGCGCCGATGGGGGACGATGAATTATAATCGGGGACGTCCCGATAAAAGTCGCCCGACTGAATCCCCGACGCGGCTCGCATGTGCATTCCCGTCCGACGAGAGATCGATCTCCCTGCATGGGCCTCCATAACGGGGGTTTACGATAATTGCTGCAAGCATCCTGCAATTTCAAGCTTAATGGACTGGCCAGGTCGGTCTGCCGCGGATGGAAATTCCATCGTCGTGGGCATCCACCGCGGAAAACTGGCCTTGAGAGCACCAGGGGTTGGCAAATGCTTGGGGGGTTGGATAGCATTGTATAAAATATGTTCCCAGAAGGAGCTTACTTTAACTCCTCGACTTAACATATGCGAAAATAGAATCGAAGCTTGCTTGGGAATTCTCTAAGAGAACAAACAAACTAAATCCGATTCCCATGGCGATTTAAAAAATATTCCACCAACCCCCAAAGATGCGAACCAATACCCAATACTATGTCTAGTTACCCCACCCTGTAAATTCACCAATTCAGACCTCAACAATTATTCCAAAGTGCGTGTAAAGTACCTACGTTTTTCCTCCCCCTGTCTTCGACAAGATAATGTTTAAGAACTTCGACGGGCCATGAATGGTCCAGCAAAGTGACAGAAGTTGCCCAGTTGAAGACCGTGGCTGCAGAGCATCGGTTTCTCGGAATACTTTCGGCAAAGTTTTTTCGCCGGCAACCACCGGCGCGTTATAACGGTAATTCCCCGTGGACTGTAATTGAAAGAGAGCAGCAGCGGCGGTTAATTGCACTAGGTCGAAATCATCGAGGGAGCGACGGCGCGGCAGCCCTCTTCGCTGCTCTTCTTCGAAAGTCATTTATAAGAGGCCCCCTTTGCCTCCTCGGTAACTCTCGGGACCTTGGTGCCAGGCTTTTCGCTTCTAAGCTCCAATTATTCCCGCACGGGGGTTGCTTAAATCGAAGATCGCTTCTCGGACGAACGTTTTCGGGGTCCCCCCCCCCTGCTGGTACAGAGGCTGTGTTTAGCCGTCAACGAGATTACCACTCCGAGGTTGCGTACTTAATGCTCTGGTTTACCTTGGACGGTTTCCTTCATTGGGGAAAGATTGGAAGGAAGCTTCAATTCGTTTGAACTTTGACCATCGAGATAATGGTGCTTGATGTATTGAGAAATTAGGAACATGGACAGTCCGATAGCGTCTAAACAAAAATTAGGCGCGCTCCATTTCCAGGATATGGTATTAAGTGTTCTGTGTGAATTCGTTGACATTTTCTGCAGCTCGACACACTTTCTGCCCAGAAGGCAGCTTCATATCATTAACCCACTTAGTGTGTCAATATTAATATTCACACGACTCTGAGTTGTTTCTTTTATATGTAGACCTAATTGCAAGGGTCAATTGCTAGGTAATGAAATACTTATTATTAATTATAATGGCAATGACGGCAATCTACTTTTTCTATCTTCTACAGTTCTGGAGCTACTAAAAAACAATATAATATACACGAATAAATCAAAGTTCCTTAGACACCCATCATACTCGTACTCCATTTTCTACTTGAACTACTCAAAATCAATTCGCTTAGTGCCAAACCTGCGCAATCAATTAATCAAGCACAAATAAATAATCGTCTCGCAACCCGATCGCTCCATAATTTCAACCTCCTCGTATTTTAAATTCCCGACGTTCGCCACAGGCGCCGACGAATTAACGCGATCGTTCTCGATCTTCGATCTCGACGCCTCATCGATCTCCCCCGAGAAAATTTCCATCTGGGCCCCCTTCTCGCTCCCAATGGCACCGTGTGCCGTGCGCGCACACTTCCTGAATACACAACGCGGCCAGAAGAGCGTGTAATAACCGCAGGAAGATACAAATAAGACCGTCCCATTACACTGATGCAACGTGTTATACATTTTTCGACGGCGCATCGTCGGCGACTCGCCGCGGACAATAGAAGTACACGCGGGGTCCGCACAATACCAGAGATACTGCCAGAGAGCCAGATGATAAGTGTGGGTGACGAAGCAACATCGGCGGAAAAAAGCCCGTAGTTACACTGTAAGTATGTATCTCCTTGATGAGAACAAGGAGAAGGATGCAGCGGGCCGCCCTCCTATCCTTGTGCAAGCAGCGAAAGACGAAGGTGGAAACGACAGAGAAAGAGGGACGAGGAAACACGCTGAAACGTCGTGGGACACCGCCGGCGCGTTCGCCGATCTCTGCCCGCGTACAGAGTTGTGCAAAAGTAACGTATGAATCCGCTAGACGTACAAGTTGAGGCGCTCGATGTGTTCACCTCGAGCAACGTCAATAATATGCGGTGGAAATTTTTGAAAAAAATTTTCTAAGCGAAACTTATGCTACTCAGAGCTGAAACGAGTGGAGTATATTTGGGGACTTTTTGGCGAGAGCCTAAGTGATGGATCGAGACTAGAGAAAATTGAGAAACTCTAAAATGACAAAATGACAAATTGGGTGATATAAGACAAATCGGGGCTTAAATTTAACTCGAGGTTTGTTCAACCACGAGTGATTAGATCCGTCCCTCCTATTTAACGACAGCTGTGCAGGATTCCAAAGACTTCAGGAAGTCTAGCGCTTTTGTGGATACCCGTGGCCCCGTGTAATTTACGTGGAAACCCTCCTGAGCGGAAGAGACTATCCGACAATGGGACAGTTTGGCAACTCTCGGCTAGAGAATGCTTCTTAGCTTCGAAACGGGAGCAGAACTGCCATCGATGGCGATAAAATCGCAGAACCCAGAGGCGAATAATGGGGATAAAGCAAGAAGAGACAACATGCGTCGCGGCGACCGTTCTCAAGCGTTCATCGAATTAGCGTCTAAGATAAGTTAATAAACCTCATCGAATGATTCATCACTGCGCCGCCGCTACTTATCTAATCGTTCCACTTTGCGACAGTTTACTCTTCCTTCACCCTGATGCATGTAATTAATAAGTAATCTTTTTCTGTAACCTGGAACCGATACAAGACTCGTCTGACTGGAACGTTTACTGTCAGTAATTGCGGCTTATCGCGACTTACAGCGTTATCATTAAGTATCGACGAGTAATTGGCCCCGTCTACCTGTGCGAGCGCTCGATCGATGTCTAACTGGACGTTTGCCAATGTAGTTTGCTCGATCAAGAATCAACGATGTCGGCGCTATGTCGTACACCTTGTCCCGAGTGTTACCAGTGTGTGAGAACAGCGCTTCTTCCAGCTTGTCGATATTCGTCATAAATCATTCCGACCGCTGCGCTTTCTACGTTCTAAATATCCGTAGATCAACATTCCGCGATGCATTTCAAGGAAAATATATATACATATATATGTATACATAATAGAAAATTTATTCGATTCTTCCAAGTTCTCCGTTTGACCAACTTTCTAACTCAAGTTTTCTAGAATCGTCAACGCTTTGAGACTTCTAACGCTAAGTTGACGAAGCCATATTCAGAATTTCACAAGGAAAGTTACAGGTACCATATAACGCAAGATATGCGGATATTATAAATAAGACTCTGCAATTGCTTCTTCTGATCTCATCTGACCCTGATGCAGTCGTTCCCATTGACAATAAAAAAATACTCCAAAGTAAATGTCAAATGATATCTCTAGTAGCTTCGGTACCTACACTAAACCCTCCCACGTAAACATTCTCCTTCTCAAGTTTCCATTAAAAAAGTCTTCAAAACTTGCTTTTTCTGACTCGTCATAGTCGCCGGGCCCATTAGACGCGACAGCACGCCCGTATGAGTCGAATACGGAAGAGAATCGCTTGTTGTCGCGGATTAGGGTAGATAACGCGTACACACTTACCTGTATGAGGTGGGCAAGGAACAGAACGTAGGCGGCGGCCGCCCTCATGTCTTTCCTCGAGGAATCCCTCGACTACCGCATCACCATTCCCCGTGGGTCACCGACGGTCTTCCCTCGGGCCACTCCAAATTACCAATCGGCCGGTATCTCGTCGCCGGTTGTGCCAGGATCCTCCTTGGTTCCTCGTGTATTCCTCAATCGCTGCGACACTCTTCACACTTCACTTCTCGATGCTACTTCCGGTCCGCGCACACACCGTATATACGATCCACTTTCGATACTTGGTCTCACGGTTCTCCACTTCGTACGAACTCGGGGTTTAGACAGGGCACTTCGCCGCGATTTTAAGTCGACACTGTACACTGTTTAACACTGTTTCTCGTGCACTCCGACCCGGAATCGTCCGCGGTTGAGTCTCCGCGGAGACCTGAAGAGTAGCTGGCGGGCGAGAGCCTAGCTTTCGAACCCGATCAAGCGTCGAGGACGCTGGAGGATGTTTACGCGACAGGTACCTTTCCCTCGCGCTGTATCGGCTGGTCCTCTTCGTTTTACACCTTTCTCTCTCGCGAGATGATCCGAGTTAAGCTCGTTTCACTTGGAGCGAAGGTGATTAGCTTCGGTGTTGTTGCTCGCATCGAGGTGATATCCTCGAGGACATGGGTTTTCTTGGATAGTGACGACGAAACGAGGTACACTCCAATTTAAACGCATGGACAGTTTAGGTTTGACACGTGGTCGGTACACCTGTCCTCTGCCACGGTTCACTGGAGCACGTGTTCGAGGCGAGGATCTCCGTCAAGTCCACGACGTTTCGAGCGATCTCCACGACAATTGGACATGGAACACAGGGGTGTCCTCACTGGAATATTAAGCTCTGGTGGCAGTCCCTTCGCACGTGCGCGGAACCACGATTCCTCGGGCCGGGTTAGGGACACCTTGGAACGCGAACCATCGAACTGAAATACTCCGAGCACAAGATTTCAGGAGTTCCTCAAACGTAATCCATCACTTATGGGGGGATTCTTCGTCTGGCCCAAAATTCTTCACGATTACCAAGAGTGTCGAAGTCGCGAAAACGGTCGCGATAAACCACGCGTCGTCGAACTGTCGCGGTGTGTTTCTCAGCGATCGACTCCTGAAGGAACAGGTGTGTGGACCGAGTCACACATACGCGCACCTTTCCGCGAACGGGCCCGTGTGTGCGTGGACACGCGTGCCTGTATGGTCACGTAAACACAGTGGGTGTACACTGGTATAGTGTGAACGTGTGTATGTGTGTGTCGTGCACGCTGGAGCACGGAAACGCAGCACCTCCGCGGGGTAGACGAGTCGGTCGCTCCGGGGATACTGAGTCGGAGCCGCAGGCCGGCCTGCGGGCCTCCCCCACCCCCTCGTCGTGCTCTCGATCGTTCTCTTTCCCTACCCTGGTCTCCTCTTCGCTCTTTAGCTACCTGTCTTCGTCGCTCCCTCTCTAACTGTCCAGTCCCTACCCTCGAGAGACCCCCTCCTACCTTCACAAGGAACATCGACGATCCCCACCACCGCGGGGAACGCTCTTCACCCCGAACCCATGGATCCGCGCCACTCTCTGGCATCGTTGCCTCTTTATACATGTTGCTTGGCCTCTCTTGTATGTCCAGCGTGCCTCTTGCTCGCGATCATGTAATGGTGAGTGCGTGCACGGACGTGATAAGAGTGGTGGTACGATGCTTCGGTTGTGTAAGGGAAATTACTGGCTGGCGGTGTTACATATAATATTATAATACGAACGGGGTGTATGCTGACCGCGCGGAACCTTCCTCGGAGCAGGATCGAGGACAGAGGATGAATGAGATGCGTTTGTATGGGACGTATGCATTGCTTGACCTTGGTTTTGTTAAAAAATCTCTTAGATGATCTTGTTGTCGGAAATGTGAACCTTGGATGACCTTGGGTTTGGGGATGTTTACCCTGCTTGACCTTGTCCTTGTAAACATACGCCTAATTTGACTTTGCTTCTGAGAAGATACTCTTTAAATTCTCGAAATAGTCACCTTTAGTCTATATACATAGGTATCTGCAGACATCGTGTTCGGATAACAGGAGTCGAGCAAATGAACATACGTAAGTGACCTCAAAAGTAAAAGTGAATTAATTGCTGTAGTCTAGTTATAGATACTATCGATTCATTACATTCATTAAATTCAGTATTCATTATACCGATCTAGAGTTCCTTTATTGACACTTGTCGATTGTCAACAGTGTCAATTAATTGAGAGAAAGTACCCCGGAGGTAGTGTGCTTTAAATGGCGGTATAATGCTCCGATCAATGGACTGTATGATGGATGTGCTTTGCTGGCAAAAACACATTAACTGGAATGTACGTTTCTATTGATTTAATCTAATAGCAATAACGTCTTTGGCTCTAAATTGCTTTAACCACGTTAGGGTTAAATATAAGAATTCACTGGATTCAGATTTGTGGATCGAATAGACCAAGCAATAGGGTCTGCAGGATCTATCCATCTGTTAGAGAATCGTTCACTCGAGAACTGTCTGGCCGGCTGAAATAGGACGGTGCAGAGTCACGCATAAATCAAACGCGATGTACAACATCTAATGGAACTTCTTCCAATAATTCATGCACTTGATTACTCAAGAAATTGACGCAAGATTGACCTGTTTGTGTTCCATTAAGCAGAACAAGGAGTTATCAAACATTTTACACCGACAGTTTTGTAAAATCAAGCTTGTTCTGCGATTAAGGATTGTCAGACCCTTATAATCAATTACATACACTACTCATGTCCATGCATTTGTTGGTAGCTTCATCAGGATAGATATACAGAGTCTTCACTGTTACTTTGATTTTATTTGGCTCAAAGGTCACTTCAAGTACTTCCTCTAGGACACTCCAGATTATACAGTGGTACCAAAATGGCTACACTTGTGAATCAAGGTCAACTCAGGCACATCTTTGTGTGAACTTTTCCCATCTACCCTTGGGATGTTACATATTAGGCTACTCCATCTCTATTAATAATCTAATCCCAATAATAAATTACCAGGGTTGCACGTCCACTCTTCTTGCCTGCCCAATCATCAGTATTAGTGCGCCCTCCGTGCGTGCGCAAGCATCGCACGTGTGTTGGTTCGCCGTTGCGATTGTGTAAGAGGAATTGCCAGTCGTCCGTGTGTTGGTTCGCGTACACGACTGAAGAAGACTCCGGTGCTCCGTCTCCGTTCGCCCTCAGAGGCTCCGTTCGCCTTTCTAGAAGGCATTACACGACGGTACACTTGTGCCCTGGTAGGTGGATGCTGGAGCCTTGGTGGATCCGTCCGCGACGGTGCGCGCGTGTATATCTTGCGATCGGTTTCATCGCGAGCGTCCGCGGTTGTGTATTCTCACCTCGTCCAAGGAGGAGTGGGTACGAGCTGTTTGCACGAACTAACATCTGGCGGTTCCTGCAACGGGTACCCTTGGAAGAACGTTTGTGGTCCATGGGTATGGAGTTTTAGTATATTTACATGTTCTCTAGCAAAAATAATTTCTTAAGCCCGGTGACTAAAACTACGATGTTGGATGCAATTGTTTCCTCGTAGATGTACCTGAAGTGCCATTACCAGAGTTCCCAGGGCCCGCGGAAACGGTGGTCGCGAGGCCATCGGAATCGACGTGTCCAATTTTCGTCCCCTGTTAAAGCCGGGGGATTAACGTTATTAAATGTACGGTTACGTGGACGATAATGATACGTAAGCGGGTATCCTTCGCGAGGTAAACATCGGCGCCCGTGAGAGAGAGGTTCCCGGTAGAAGGAGGTTCCACTCGATGGGGGGACGAAATTATGTATATTCCGGAAGAATGATTTCGGACGATGAATAATGGATAAGTCCTGTCGCGTGTCCACCGTCATTACGCCTGGGATATCGACCACGGTAATCTGCCCTTGCGAGAAATGCCATCGGCGCAGATCGTCATTGAATTCCAGCCCCCGTATACGACGTTCCACGTAATTCGCGTGTCGAGTTATCGCGCAAACTGAAGGGACGGCCGGTTAAACGGCAATAAATTATCGCTGGGACAGCCGGGGCCCTCTTTTGCAGGGACTGCTTTCTAGTCGCGTCTCGTCCCGTGCATCATTCTGCGAAACGGAGTGCTCGAGAATCGGTAAACAATTCCGGGTACTTTCCATGGCTGCGCGTAGAGCGAAGTAACAGTGTACCGCGAGCTAGGTTGGGCTGGTAACCTGTCAACCCCTTGGTCGAACCATTGGTTCTCTAATAGAAGTGATTTCTTCTACAGATCAAGGTATATATTTTTGTGGGTGAACAAACACAGAGATTAATTAAAAGGAAGAGAGCTGAACAACTGAACTCACTAATGCATAATCTGAACATGTATATTTGTATTTATAACCAAATGTATTTCGCGGACTAAACACGAGACTACTCATTACCGAATGCTAATTGTGGTCGCTCCATTACGCGCTACCTGGCAGGACGCCAACGTCGCGACGCATAAATGCGATGCCTCTACTAGCGCATACGTTCGAACTTGCTTGCAATTCCTACGGGTACACTTCCCCAGGTTCCTTGGAAACCGTCAAAAACCATCAGGGCATTGATGAACCGATTGATCGGCGCTTTAGTGCACCGGTCGAATTCGTTTAGCTCGCGAAACGGCTCGATTGTCCGCATCTCGCAATCACCGGTGGACCGATTGCAGGCATCTATCTCTGCCCGAACAAAAACGAGCGGCCATTTAACGAACCCCGCGGCGATCGAAATTAAATTTTCGCGATCCTCCCGGCAGCCCCGATCGCCGGTTGGTCGCAACAACCGAGGTCAGCCTCCCCTGAAAGAACCTGTACCGAGACGATAGCGGCGTCGAGAGTCCAAGTCTTCTCGGTTCTCTCTGTCTGTTCGTCAGGGGTCCGCGATATCGTACCGGAGCGACGATGCTCGTGGTAGCGTGCCGGTACGGTGCACCGTGGGCCACAGACGGATGGACGGACGATCCATGGACAGCGGTAGTGGGATACTACGCGGTGCGCTGCCTGGTCCATCTCGCTCTCTCCCACCTTGGAACACGGTCTCCCTCGTGTTCATCTCGAGCTTCCTTCGTCTCTCTCGGCAGCGGCTTCTCATCCTTCATCTTTTTCCGTCTGCCTACCGGCATATCCCGCTCCATCTCATCCGCCATCTCCGTCTGTCTCGATACCGGCTCGCTCGTGGGCCCAGAGTTAGCCGGCGGGCATCATGGTGGCTACACCGCTGGCTTCTCGCGTCTCTCGAAGGCTCGCAAGAGAGTGTGCCCCCCGAGGGTCAAGGAACTCCCTCGGGAACAGGTTCACCTCCTCCTCCTCGTCTCCCTCCTTTGCGCCACTGGGCCCCCCTCTTGTTCCCCTCTCGTGCTTCCCTCTTGTCTCCTACCACCGTCAGCCGCCCTATGCCCCCTCCGGTACGTATATACCTTAGGGTTTTACTTATTTTCTCTTATTACCGCCCGTTGGGCATGTGGGCACGCTTAACGCGCGCACACAGCCTTCGTCGCGGCTCGTACGTACACGAGACGCGTTGGGTCCATCTCGAGGCCCCCGTCAGTCTTCCTCCCCACCGCGAGGGCCCTTTTCTTTCGTTCCTTCCTTCTCTTCGGGCTGTTTTCTCTCCTCTTAGGCCTCCTTAGGTACTCCAATATGTGAGCACATTATTACAGGCGCAACAGAGGCCCTCGAGGGGACCGGGGGTTCCGTAGGGCCCCGGGGGACCGCGGACGGGGCTGAAGACGAGGCGAAACGCACACGCGCTTCTGGGCGGACGGAGAAAACGCGCGAGCGTGCACGCAAGGGTGTTTAGGTGAAGCCACCATCAGGCCCCGCTACCCTCCCGTCCCTTCGGCTCTGTTACTGTTGGCTAGCCTGGCTCCATTCCTTCGTCTTCTTCTCCCGCTTCGTGCTCCTCTTCTTATCCTTCTTTCTCGTCCTTCTCATCGTTCCGGCTGTCCCACCGGCTCTCGACGGAGAGTCAGATACCAGATTCCACCTGTGCTGGCTGATATCTTGCCCGTTGCTGCCGTGCTCATCCGCCTTGTCTTCGTTGTCTCCCCTCGTGTCGTGAGATCGTTTCGAATTCGTTCGGGGGAGTTCCCCGGACTTTTTTCACCCGTCCCTCGGGCGCGATCGTCTAAACGGGAGAATCTCGCGGAACACGACCGTTCCGCCGGATGATCCCTCTCTGGAATTTAATATATCACTCGTTCACGGATAACCTAGCCCCTCTTCTAACGTTTGATCTCGTCGTTTCGCGCGCGTTGCGGATGGTTTCGCTGAGTATGATACTTTGATCGC